CCCGTGTCTGGTGCAGACCTGGACACATAGTAGGCTCTTCCTGAATGGGAAATGAACGGTGTCAGAGAGAGAACTAACGCTACCTGCCAGACAGTGAGCAAGCGTTTCAATGTTATTGCAGTCAGTCTCTCACAATTCTACAAGTACATGTTATCTGTGTTTTTCAAATGAGGAAACTAAGACCAAAGAAGTAACTTGCCAAGGTTACTCAGTGAGCGAGAGAAACAGCTAGGATCTTGAAAACGGACTGTACTGCTTTCCTTCAGTGAGAAACATAATGCTATTCTCCATGAGAAGCGTACCTTATGTTGAGTTTTGTTTTATTTAATAACATCCCTTTCTTCCATATCATGCTTTTTTAGGTAACAGTGTCTTAGAGATACCTCCATGTTATCCACAGTAGAGGACGACCAGTATTGCATGAAGTTCATAGACATTAAGAACCAGATTTCTTGAGGGGTACCTGGATGGCCCAATTGGTTGAGTGTCCGACTTCGGCTCAGGTCATGATCTCACAGTTCATGGGTTTGAGCCCTGCTTCAGGCTCTGTGCTGACATCTCAGAGCCTGGAACCTGCTTCGGATTCTGTGTCTCCCTCTCTCTCTCTGCTCCTCCCCGACTTGTGCTCTCTCTCTCTCACTCTCATGAATAAATAAATAAATAAATAAATAAATAAATAAATAGGAACCAGATTTCCTGGGTTGGACTTTGAACTCTGTTTTTTTACCGTAAATGTGATCTAAGGTAAGTTTTTAAGCTATCTGTACCTCTCTTTCTTGGAAGCAAGGATGATATTAGTTACCTATGTCCTAGGGTTAATATGAGGATTAAATTAGTGAACACGTATAAAGTACTTAGACTAATATCTGATATGTAGTTAAGTGCTATAACAAAAGAACATTACTTGTTCTTTTTTAACTATTGCATTGCCCTCCACAGTATGTATGGACTATAATATATGTTATCATTCCTGTATGAATAGAAATTTTGTTGGTCGCAAGGTTTTGGTATTATAGACAATGCTACAAAGAACATTCCTGTTGTGCCTCCTTGTGCACATGTTTGTCCACATATCGGTTCAAGGGGTAGAACTGCTGAGTTAAAGGACATTTGTATGTAAAAGTTCTAATTTTTATCTATTGCAATGGATATCCACAGTACAAATGTCAAAATGTGCAAAAGGTCATATAGTAAAAGTCTTTCTTCCCACTCCATGTGATATCAGAGATGTTGATTATAAGGCTTTTAAATTTCCTTTATACTAATTTATTTATACTTCTGATGCTAGCCAGGACCTAGAATCTGAATCGTAAATTTATTCTCTGGCTGACACCATCATCATCATCATCATCGCCGTCGTCATTGTCACCTTTATAAATTTATTAGGAACCTTATAAATGATATTAGATAGTTCATTTTACCTAGCCTTCCCTATTCCATTGTCCTGCTTTATATTACTTAATTTTGTCTTATTCTTTTTCTAAGATTCTAAGTGCTTCTTATTTTTACACAAGTCCCTTAGTAAAGAGCACATAGATTTTTAAAACAAAAGATCTAGAATAAAAACACTGTTTTGCCACTTATTTGCATTATGTAGCCTTTGCTAAGTTAAATTCTCTGAGCCTATAAAATGGGAACAATAATGTCTACCTATGAGATTAGTATTGAGTTACATATATAAATATAAATATATGTGTCACTCCCTACATGTCAGGTACTTTACATGCACTATCTCTAACTCTTGAAGTAGTCACAAGCAAGATTAATAGGAAGGCAAATGCAGCAGACTATGAGAAAATCAAGGAGATAGTAGGAGATGGACGCGGTGTAGAAAATCACCAAACTAAGACCTGAACTTTGAGTTGGAAGAAGTTGAGAGTGGTGGGTATTGGCAGGAAGCGTTTAGGCAGAGCCAGAAAAGCATGTGTAGAGGTCCTGACGTTACAGAAAACTTAGTTACTCAAGGAATTGAAAGAAATAGAGAAATTTAGGACCATGGAAAATAAGGGAGAGAGTGATAGCAGATGGGGCCAAAAATAATTATTTTGAATTCCCATCTTTCTGGTTTTGGAGAGTGTTTTGTGTAGACGTGATTGTTCGAGCTGTTCTCGCCATCTTTCTGCCCTGAGAAAGACACTGGGATGGCAAGAGGCTGGACACTTGAAGACATCACTGAACTACTGAGCCAACTCTGGAAGTGCTCACCTCTGGACTAATTTATCTTATTAGGTAATAAATATCCTTATTTGATTAAGGCAATTTTAGTTGAATATACCGACCACTGAAGGCATCTTAACTGATTATATTTAATGAAAGAGGAAGATCACACAGGGCTTTGTAGATCATATTAAAGATCTGGAATTTAATTCTAAGGGTTATGGAGAGCCATTAAATGTTTTTAAGCATGTGGTGAATTTTGCTTTTCAAGAGATCACTTTAGTTGCAATGTGGATAATAGATTGAACAGTGGCAATAGTGGAGGCAAGTGTAGGAGATACAAACTATTGCAACAGGTAACACAAGAGAATGCAATGATTTAAAACATGTGGTTGCCATGGGAATAGAGAAAAATGAACCTGTTCAAGAGATACTGAGAGATACACTGGAGGCAGAATTGTGAATTGGGATTGTGATTGATTCGATGTGAATGAGGAAAAGGAAGAAATCAAGATGGCTCCCAGGCATCTGGATTGAGCAACCAGCTAGATTGTAGTGCCATTTACTAAGACAGGGATAAACAACTGGAAGTAGAACAGGTGGGAGATTACTATAATGAGTTCATTATTGGACATGTTGAGCTGAAGGTGCCTGAAGCAACGAGGTGGTTACGTCAAGTAAGCAGTTGGACATCTGAGTGGCTCAGAATAGAGATAAAGACTTACGAGTCTTTGGAACCCAGATGGTAACAGAATCTATGTGATGTTTGAGATTCTTAGGGAGAGGGTGAGGAATGAGAAAAGGCCCTACAACAGAATCCTAGGGCCTCCAGCACTTAGTTTTTCCATGGAAAATGAAGAAGCCAGTGAAGGAGACTGAGAAGAACAGTCAGAAAGAAAGAGGGAAAGTCAAAGAGTTTCTACAAAGAAGGCGTGCTCGACAAAGAAGGCGTGCTCAACACCTACAAATGCAGTTGAGAAGTCAAGGAAGAAAAAGACTGAAAAGATTCTGTTGGATTTAGCCACATGAAGGCCACAGGTGACTGGTGAAGAAGCAACTTTTAGACAGATGGAAGTGGAGTGGTTCAGTTCAGAACCCAGTTTGGACTGGATAAAGAGAGGAAAATTCGGAAATGGAGACACAGATGGTAAAGAAGCAGGTCAAGAAATTTGGCCTTTAAGAGGACATAGGGCAGGAGCTGAGGGACAAGTGGAACCAAGGGAGGGTTTTGTTTTTCTTTTAAAGATAAGGATGGCTATCTTTCCTTTACCTCTATATCCAATTCAGTAGCAAGCCGCTTTAGGTCTTTCTCTTAAATGTATCCCAAGTCTGTCCATCTCTCACCTTCAACCCAGATAACTCACTGGTTTCAGCCACCATCATCCTCACCTGGATTAATTCAGTAGTCTCCAACTGGTTTCTCTGCTTCCATTTTTATTTTGTTCTTGTCTTTTTGAAATCCTAAGGCAGTCATGGTAAATGAAATCACGGTTTTGAAAAAGAATCCAAACTCTTGGTCTTGGCTTATGAGATTGAGTATGTATGATCAGACTCTTCTCCTATCTTACATCCCATCTACCCCACTGTCCCCCTGTGTTCTGGCTCCACGGGCTTCTTTCTGCTCTTTGTTGCTTTCTCACTCACTGGTCTCAGTGCTTAGCAAGCTTCTTCCTACATCTTTGAATGGCTGACCCCCTTTCATTATTCATGATTGCTCAAATGACTTTTTTGCCTCATCCAAATAGTCTTCTCTGACCTTCTTATCCTCCCCATCCCCATCCTCAGTCCTGGTTTACCCTATGCATGGCTCTTATCATCTGAAATGATCTTGTTCATTTATTTGTTGATTATATCTTCTCATTAAAAGTCTGGGGGAAACTGGGTAAGGTTTATAGGATTAATATGTATTACATGTATTACTGCATGATATATGTGTGTATTATGTATTACTATGTGTTATGTATAAATGATAAGCATGTGAATCTGATTATCTCAAAATAAATGTTTTCGGTTTTGTTTTTTTTAAGTAAGTTCTGTGAAAACTGGCATTTTGTCTCCTTGTTGGGAACTGTGTCACCATCACCAGAACGAAGTGTGGCATACAGTGGGCACTAAAGAAGTCTTATTAAATGTGTGACTTAATAAATGATATATTTGGTCATGTCTAAAAGAGGATGGGGCGAAGACTACCAACAATAGCAGGAGACTCTGAGCCAAGGAAACCCGGGTCGTAGAATTTAGCACTAGAATCCTTGTCTTACAGTTGAAATTCGAACCCGGGTTTCCAGAACCCTTTCACCGCCCCATACTACCTCTCCATTAGTGGAGTATTGATTAGATGACTGAAGTCCTGGCGACACTCGATCAAATTTCGTCTTTGTAGCCTATGGTGATTCCCACAGTGCAGGGCAGATAGGACCAGCACCTTACGTGTGGGGTCTGGTTCCCATAAAGCATGACCAGGCCCGCACTCTCTGTAACTTGCAAGACTGGGTAAGGAGGCTGTGTGCAAGAGCCTGGAAGGCTCACTGAAGCGCAGGTCCTCAGCTCTGCAGTTGAGGTTTCAGGTTTCAGTTCTCCCAGGAGCACGAGATGTCGCAGCGTGCACGGTGCGGCTGCCGCCTCCGCCTCCCCGTCTCCGCTAAGGCTGCGCTCGAAAGCCAGTTCCAGGCGCGGCCGCGCACACTCTTCTGCCCTAGACGAAGGTTGGGCGCCGTGGCTGAGGCTGCTGCAAGCTGCCGTAGCTGGGCGCGCTGGGAGGTGGCGAGCACAGCTGGGCCGGGACTTCCTTCCTCTACCGCAGGACAACAAAACAACCCGGCAGCAGGCACTCAACTCTTGGCAGCTGTCTGGCCGAGAGGCGCAGCCATGGGCTCCGTGCTTAGCAGCGATAGCGGCAAATCCGCCGCCGCCTCGGCCGCCCCGCGGGCCCTGGAGCGCAGGGGGGACCCGGAGCTGCCCGTCACGTCCTTCGACTGCTCCGTGTGCCTCGAGGTGTTGCACCAGCCCGTCCGGACCCGCTGTGGCCACGTGTAAGTGCCGGGGGAGCTCGGCTCGCGCGCCCACCCTGGGGAGGGAGAGGTTGGGGGAAGGCATGGGGGATTTCAGGAGCCAGCGCTCGAATGAAGCTACCGCAGGGAGACACCTGGACCCGTCGAGTGCGGGCCGCGGGAAAAATGACCAGTCGGAAGGTGACACAGGATTTCAGGAGGCGAAAACATTAACAAGCGGGCTCTGCAGCGCCTCCCCCCATCACCCCAGCTGCTTGTTCCCGGAGCCCAGGTGCAGAGCCCCAGGGATGGGGATCCCAGGAGCGGGACCCGCCGGGAGCCGGGGCTTGCCAAGTGGGGAAAGTGCTGTCGGCTGGAGAGCCAGCACCCGCTTCGGCACAAGGCAGTGGGCTCCTGCAGAGCATTTCTCCCGCTGAACTCAGTTAATCGGACCGTGCTTCCCCCTCGCCCTCCCCGCAGAACCCAGGTCGGTTTTGTTTTGCTGGCTTGTGCACGTGTTCTAGAACGCCCACTGAGCCTAGCCTCTTGAGCAAACAAAGATCTGAGCAAACTGTCCTTCCACCCCCACCTCCCTTTCCTAACACGGACATTCAGGCCCCTGAAAGATCAACCCAAACTGGAACGCCCAAGTGACTCTGTAGTCCTAACAGTTTAAGTACCTGTCAGGGCGGGGCTGGGATTTGAACGTTAGCACGGAGCCCTGGAGTGTAGCCGTTTAAAAACCCAGCCACAAAGTGACGGGAGCTTGCAGACTACCCTCCCTTACGCAGCGCTTCCCTAAATCGCCGGAAAGTATAGATAAAAATAACTGTCTTAAAAACCAGGTACCATGGAACTAAAACTTGCTGTTAGTTTCTAAGAAGAGTTTAAAAACAAAATCCCTATGTAAAACGTGTGCTTGAGTAACTAGTAATAGGAGTTGGATCTGTGGATTCGTTCACTCTGTTTACATAGAAGCTTGCTTTCCGTGGCTGCCTGGGTGTGTGGCCGAGTGTGTGCCTGTTGGGGTCGGGGTGCGTGGATGGGGGGTGGTTGCATAGAGAGCGGAAGCCCGCTTAATGTCTTTGCCCGGCCGTTTATAGTTTGATGAAGCTCCAAGGCAATAATACCGCAATGGCTAGTTAAGTGTTTTTGGCTTACCAGGAAAAAAGTTACCATATTATAAATGCACGTGCACAAAATGTTTTTAAAAGGACTGAGGTGGTCCTTGACACCTATAGACCAGTAACTGAGAAGCAGTTTTCACCACTGAAAAGCCCAGTAGTGAGCCAAGGAAGAAAAATGCAGCCTACACAGTGTTTTAAATAAAGAGTGCCCTGGGCATTATTTTGTGGCTGCATTTTCAGGGCCTGTTGTTTCAGCTTTGTACTTTAAACTCAAGTCTAATTGACCTCCTGTCTGATTACTGATGTTGTTTCTCAGCTGTCCAGATATAGTTCATTGACATAAACCCCAAGGCCAAGATGGAAGCCAAGATATCGTTGTGTGATGGTATAATATATTGATTAGCTCAGGGCAGTAATAACCTTGTGGTAACTATATTTAAATTTAGCCTGAATGAGCATTAAAACTTTAAAGTTGCCCCAAAGGTACACAGTGGGTGTCAAGTCTTGAAGGTGTCTTTTGTAGAACTGAATGGAATTGGGTAACTTTGGTATTGGAGATTGTTATCTGATTGGGGATAGTTTTCTATCCACCCCCGCTCCTTTTGGAGTTTGAATACTATAACTTACTGTTCGCAGGGTTTTGGTTCTGCTGAAGGATAATACATAGGTGTAAAAAGTTAAACCTTTTGTTTAATCTTTTTCTTTGTTAGAGTTTGAATAGGAAACCAGCAACTGGAAAAATAGTCTCATGAAGTAGCACAACAAGGGCTGGAGGAATGGCCTTCCCTCACTTTTACTGTTCTTTGTTTTGATAAATCTATGTCCATTGTTCTGGCTGTGGGCAGAATTTCCATATTCCTCCCTTTGGCAAATTTGCTTGGGCCCCTTCCACTTTCTAAATGTTAACTCCAATTCCTTCTGCACTGGAGGCTGTGAGTGCTGTTAACACCATTTGTATTTCTGAAATGAATTACTCTCTTCCATTGACCTTTGATTGGAAAATGAAGAAATGCAGATGAAACCTGTCTGTATTATCCCATATGGAAGCTAATTTCCAAACTTTTTGAACTTGTTTGTGTATGCTGATTTCTGTTTATAAACTGATTTCATAGAGGGCTCCTGGGTGGCTCAGTCCTTTAAGGGTGCCACTCTTGATTTCAGCTCGGGTCTTGATCTCAGGGTGTGAGTTCAAGCCCCACATGGGGCTCCGTGCTGGGTGTGGAAGCCTACTTAAAAAAATAATAATAATAATGAGTTAAATAAAATAAACCTATTTCAAGTCAAGCAAGATATTAATAATGGCAAAAATACATTGAATGAATATGTACATAGCACTTTATAAATCGTATTGTGATGCAGTAGAAACAGTGGGCTTGATTTGAAATTCAGCCCTGCCACTGACCAGCAGAGCTGAATCTCTTTGACTCTGTTTCTTCATTTGTAAAATAGGGTGAATAATGGAATTTTTATGAATTTTTAAGAAATGTAAAAGTAGCTCATCATAAGGCCTCAATACAGGATATCTATTTCCTTTAAAGTCATTCCACAAAGCAAGAACCCACGAACAGTATTATTTCTTATCTTTATATTTCTTTTGGAATAAAACCGGGCCATAAAAGATTGATCTATGACATTTTCAAGATGTCCCAGATAGCCTTTCTTTTAGCTTAGTTCTTTTTCCTTTGGTGGCCTTGAATTTAAGAAGTTCTATTTTAATGCTCTGTCATTTCAAATTGACTCTATTCATATCTCTGTATCAGTTGTTAAAACATATTTTGGGGGAAAGGTTTCCTACCTCTACTTTATCTTCTACTATCAGTGGGTGAGGGGGAGGGGGTAGATGAGGAGGGGGCAGATAAGTTGAAGCTGTATAAAGGAAACTGAAAGGGAGTCTGATTTATATTTAAAGTAAGTATTCAAGGAAATTTGTTGACCAGTTGGATATGATAAATGGGGGAGAAAGGGGTGGAAGGCAACTCCTTAGCAAGTAACAGATAAAAGGGGACAGAGTTCAGCTCAGGAGGTTGTTAATGAACAAGTGATGGGGCTTGTTGAGCGTACAGTGGTCTGAGAGGGAAATATCCAAATAGAAATATCCCAAAGGCACTGGGACAATGGGTTTGAGGAAGGGTCAGAGCTGGAGCTAAGGGAGTTAGTTATCTAAAAGAATCAAGAGGTTGAGGGGTGCCTGGGTGGCTCAGTTGGTTAAGCGTCCGACTTCTTCCGCTCAGGTCATGATCTCACAGCTCAGCTTGTGGGTTCAAGCCCCACATCAGGCTCTGTGCTGACAGCTCAGAGCCTGGAGCCTGCTTCGGATTCTGTGGTCTCCCTCTCTCTCTCTGCCCGCTACCCCTTACTTGTGCTCTGTCTCTGTCTCTCTCAAAAATAAATAAAAGCATTTAAAAATATTTTTTTTTAAGTATATCCCTTGTCATATAGAGATAGGTGTTAGGGATAAAAAAAATAAATAGGCGAGGAAATGGGATGGGAAGTATGTGGGAGAGATGCAATTTTAAAGATATTTAGAGCAGTGCTTCTCAAATTATCTGCTGTAAAGAACCACTGAGGTTTTGTTTGTTTTGTTGTGTTTTTCAGCCCATCACTGACCAATACTTTTATAAAATAAAAAACATATTATGGGAAACTGAAATTAAAAAATACCAAAGATACATAAAACACAAGCCCTCATTTTAAAAGTTATTAAATATACTCAACAGACATAAAATTACTCTGTCAGATTTCTATACAAGCTTCTGAAAATACTTCTCTCAATTTCTATACTTAATTCAGCATGAACTATTAATAAACAGGGTCTCAACAACCTTTTTTTGGAGGAAGTTAGAAGGTGAGGAAGGTAGTTCAGCTCGAGAAAAATGTAAGGGGCAGTTGCATGGGGTGTGGGACATTTATTTTATTTTATTTCTTAAGTGTTTACTTATTTTTGAGAAAGAGAGAGTGCAAACAGGGGAGGTGCAGAGAGAAAAGGGGGGACAGAGGATCCAAAGCAGGCTCCGTGCCGACAGCAGACAGCCCAATGCCGGGCTTGAACTCCTGAACCATGAGATCAAGACCTGAGCTAAAGTTTGATGCTCAACCGATTGAGCCACCCAGGCGCCCCTAAATGAGGATTTTGAACAGAGTCATGGCATGAGCTGATTGAAAAGGATGACTCTGGCTGCTGTGTTGAGAATGGACTGCAGTGGGAAGAGCAGGACCAGGAGAGTGAGTTAGGAGGCCACTGTAATAATCCAGCAAAGAGACCAGGACCAACCAGCAAGGGAACAGTGGAGGTGGTGAGTGGTAGAATTTTAGATCAGTATGGAGGTGTAGCTAACAAGATGGATTCAATGTGGAGTGTGGGAGGAAGTGAGGCGTCAAGGCTGAGTGTAAAGTGCTTGGCTTGAGCCAAGGTTGGGGTTGCCCTAATTGAGATAGGAAAGACTGGGAAGGTGGAATGAGGAACAAGGTCAGGTCAGGCGTTCCATAACTGACAGGCCAAGTCTGGGACAACCAAAGGATGTTGCATAGGCGATTGGATATGTGAGTCTAGAGTTCAGAGGAAGATCTGAGCTGTAGATAAATGAAACTGGGAATCATAAACATATCCTTGATATAAATCCATGGGACTGGATGAATTTATTGAGGAGTAAGTGTAGTCAGAAAAGAATAGAGGTCCAAGGACTGAGCAGTGGTACGTACCAACATTTGGAAGCTGAGACATGAAAACCTGAAAATCAGGGGCACATAGGTGGCTCAGTCGGTTAAGCATCCAACTCTTGGTCTCAGCTCAGGTCATGAGCACATGGTTCATGGGATTGAGCCCCACGTTGGGCTCTGCACTGGCAGGGAGGAGCCTGCTTGGGATTCTCTTTCTCCTTCCCTCTCTGCCCCTTCCTTGTTTGTGCATGTGCGCGC